CTATTGCTCAAGTACCACGTACTTGATCTATTGCTCAAGTACCACGTACTTAAGTACTTATTTATCAGTAGACTTATCATGTCATTTCTAGTGTCATTTATTTGTTGTTGGTGATATCAGCATCAATTCTAAAGAACATTTAAAGCTAGCGACCAGTACTACGGCAATTAAGTACTAGCTTAAGTACGCGGCACTGAAACTTTATCAAGTGTCATGATCATGAACTAAACACAATTTAAGTAAGGTACAGCGCGTTAACCAAAAGTACGTGGCACTTAAACGTGGATTTAAACGAATTCGCTGATGTATGGTTATTCTTCAAAAATAAGCGTTTATCTGCATATTGGCGGATATCAGCGTACATCGGTCGCTATTCTCTCTGAGTTCCATCACATGGAATGATACGTGTGACGGCATATTTTCACACGGAACTTCGTTCCCAGTGCATCGAGCACTTGCTATATATAGAGCGGACGTATCCGAATATTAGAAACCACACGTTATTACATGTAGCTAGTGCTCGGCGCACTGGGAACGAAGTTCCGTGTGAAAATATGCCGTCACACGTATCATTCCATGTGATGGAACTCAGAGAGTTGTTCTATATTTTTATGTTGAATTCACATTAAATGTACACGATTGACACGAATATTCAATTTATTTCACTAATTCACACCGATATACCAATGAATAGCGATGAAAAGCCAATAACATAGATAATAGCGCTCTACCAATTGATATTTTCCCCTAGGATTGAGTCGTGCGATTCACTGCGTTTGGTTCATGGCCTAAATGAAAGCTCCAATGACAATGCTACTTGGTGTTGCTGCTTCTGGTGGTGACTCGCTGATAATGGTAATATTTCACGTACGTGGCGAATTGCGTATATCAGTTTTTGCAACGCTTTATAATAAATAATTAGGATGGTGTTGGTTGATTTTTTTTAACAAAATCGAAAAAAGTACTCTCTACTGATATATTGACTCTATTACGCTGTGCTACGCTTTCAAAAATTGAAACCTTTCTAAGATAATTTTTTTTCTTTATTTCTCCTACAGTTCAGCTCATTTTTTCTCAATTTCAAACGCTTCAGCACGTATATTCCATTGACTGCTCACAATGCGGAACGCTGCGGAAAATAATCTAATAGCCACAAATTGATCATAACTCGACTCATAACATCCTGGTCGTTGCCAGCAGCTGATGGTCGATTTTCAATTGATTTTACGCTAACAAATTGAGTCACTTTTATTGACCATAACTTTAAGAAGAAATTGTCAATTTTGTTCCATGCATCCGGAGAGAAAAAAAATGATGAAAATTCTAGCTCAGTGAGAAAGATGACGAAAGAGACTATATATATATTTGGAATAATGTGATAAACTCTGGTCAGCCACAAAAGCCATGGAATGCCGCAAAATGAAATTAAAGAAAAAGCGATAAAAACTATATATGCACTCTCAGATGCTGGAGAAAATACACTTTTTCAACTTTTAATGGCAGTTCCGGCACTTTTTCATCTCATTTTCAAATTGTGTACATTATTATTTTCGGTTGTGGTGCAAGCGAGTGAATGCTGCATTAATTTGCGGAACATATGCAAATTTATTCGTAATGAATTCCACACAGCTCCAAATTGTACGAAGCAACCCCGTGTGCAAGTATTGTAACTGTACAGTCAGATTTCGGACAAAAATGTCTTACTTTGATTGACATTTCAGTACAAAGTGTAGTGTAAGTCTATCAAAGTTAACTGAAATCATTCGAAGTTACAGTCAATCTAAGTTGCTTAATTTAGGACAAAGTGATTTTCTTAATACAAAAACATAAATTCAATCAACTCAAGTCAACTGAAGTTACAGTCAGTCAGTCATTTTTTTTCACACGGGACCATATAATTCCATTATATTATGTTGATCGAACCGCTTTTTTTTCTCTCTTTCTCTCACTGCAGTATCGCCATATGAGAATTAAATTGCATTCAAATTGGTTGAAAATGGTGGATAAGTTGAAAAGTGTACGGTAAAATATCATCAAGGCGATATATCGGCGGTGACATCGGCAAACAGTTTGAATCATTTTATTATATTTGATTTGAATTTTTCTCATTGAAAATGAATATTTTTTGCACGTCGGTCAAAAGCTTCAATAAATTCGTTCCTAGAAGATAATAGTTATGGCTTTGGCTTTGGCTTTTGTCATTTTCATTATTTGATCCGATGCAAATGTGTCATAATGGTTGTATAATTAAAACTTTATGTTGCAAAAAATGCAATTTGTGTACATTATTTTCCCTGCAAATGCCTTATGGTCTCGCTCTTTCGCATGTTTTTCGTATCGATTTTCCAGCCAGCGTTGTTGCAATCGAAAGCAAGTGTGCAAAAAAACGACTGATGACACAAAGTTAACATCGACGAAAAATAATGTTGCCATAAGTTAATGACTTCTGTTTTACATTAAATTGTACGGAATTGTAACCATGTTCCTGACGCCTGTCGTTCGACCGTTCGGTTAAGGTAAATATTCCTCGAGCCTCGTGCTAATGAATGTAATTTCAACTCGAGCGTCGCGAGAAATTGAACTAAAATTTTGTGCTCGTTGTGAAATTTACCCGAATTTAATATATACGTGCATTAATTGACCAGAGGAAATAATGAGGCAACCAGGCGACGAGCATTTAACATAATATTCTCCAATGGGAAGCGCCATTGTGTGCTTGCACATATCAAATAACATTTGGTGTATTGTTTGGGCCAAACTGTCAGACAATGCCATCGTCAAAGTTTCAAAGCGGTAATTGGAGTGTTTGCAAGCGACATATATTAATCTCCTTCCTCTTCCTCTTTCTCTCTCTCTCTCTCTCCTCTCACCTCTATTTCTATCTTCCTTTCTGTCTCGGAGTGTTTGTGTCGGTTTGATACATGTCCCTAACAATATGGCACAGAAAATTCCGTTACATTGCCTAAATTTCTGCGTTTCAAATTCATAATTTTTAATTAGATACCCTTGTACAGTGTACACTGTAGACAGCGTTCGCTATTTGCAACGTTGATCAAAGCATATCCATGATAAAGTTTTTATTTCGTTTCCCTTTTAGCAAAATGATTAATTATTCAAATGTGCTCGTTATGCTAGTGGTATTTTTTTTTGTCAATCCCGGAATCGCATTGAGAAATTGATTAAATGGCCATGGTACGCAAAAACAATGGCAATGCATCGCATCGCTGCCAACACACAAAAGAATAGCTAATTTCCAAAAATGATTTAAACTAGTTGATTGCATATGCTTTAATTATGCATTTACTGCGGCTGTAGCTTCATGGTGCAGCCGCAACCATTTCGACTCGAAATGTGCATGTTATGCAACCGTTCATCATATTCACATTAATCCAATAACTGGTAATTAATCTGCGTTTATCATAAAATCACTTTAAACTCGTCTATCATTAAAATGTTCATCATGCTTTCAGCGATTTGAAAGCTGCTGTCATTTTGATCCTGGCTTTACGTCCAATGAAAGTTTGTGAAAATGTCATAATTGAACGTAAAAGCCCGAAATCTGTTTGAAATATGGCCTAAAATTGATTGAAAAAACTTCAATATCAATTGTCATACGCAGGCAACCATTTACCAAAAATCACGCTCCAACCGAACGTGTACCACATTTCCAACGTAATGCACCAAAAACTCGATGCAGTTTAATCCATTTGGGTTGCAGAGAATCACCTGCTGGATCTTTAAGTTGATCCAAACTTTTTGACAGTCAGTTTGGGTTGCATAAGAAAAGAGCCTACAGACATCGACGAAGAAACTTAGTAAAGTGGTGTGCCAAGACTTACTGCAGCAGCAGCCTTCGTCTTGTTTGTTTTTGGACGTTGAAAAACTTTTGACAGACATTTTAATTAAGTTGTTCAAACACCCGAAAAAAGTACACACGCGATCATTACAGTGGAATAAAGATCACAGCGAGAGAAAAAAACGGAAACAACACATAAAATTATCTTGCGACAAGAATCGCCATTTAAATTTTAGCGTGATGGCAGTTCAATGACGCAACAATTTTAGCTTTATCACTTTGTGTGTGTAAAAATACATTGTGGTTAATATTCAGTGGACGAGTAAAAGTGAAATGGCCGCACAACTTATGGCACAATGATTTTTATTTATGCTGCGTTGCACACATACATACACACCATTTATCTATAAAATTACATTCATGCCCGAGCGAAATGGAGAAAGGGAACGAGCATGAAAGAGCGAGAGTGCGAGAAATGTGTGTGGAGCGCCCAAATAAACGGGTTTGTGTTGGGTTGGTTTTAAAACCTCATATAAATTTGATGTCACGTTATGCCATTTTTGCCATATCAATGTGATGGTTTTGGTGGAGCGCACGCAGAGAGGGAGAGAGAGAGAGCATCGAGCCCGTCTTTCTTTTCATTTGTGAAAATTCTCATTTTTCGAGCTTAATGTCGACAACGGACTTGACAATGTTTTATGTGTTTATGAAGTTTCATTGTTGTTACAGTGGCAGCACCAAACCCCAAACTGGTGTGTATATGTGCGCGCACTAACAACATTGTTGTACACAAAAAGCTCGCGCGCAGCAAACTTCTTGTTCGCGCCATCGCACAGTCATATTTCATTTTCTGATTTTGGTATTCGTGCATTAAAACGCAAGATGAAAACATTAAGCGCAACTTTTACATTCATGTTTAGTCGATGCATTAATCAAATCACAAAAGTAAAAATCCATGTTTTACGCGCGCCATTCACAGCGAACACCTTTTTGAACGGCACGTAGAATATGGCTAAAAGTCTTTGCAGTAAGAGAGAAAAACATAATATCAAAAAGCATTGAAATGATCCAGTGCCTTAAGTAGAGAATGTTTTTCTCTTATTTTCCGCTACGTTCATCCAAAGCATTTTGCTTCTACGTGTACAGTACACCAGAGTGACATTTTTTCATATTACCCGAATCTGGGTAGAAATTGACGTACATGCACTTTTCATGCATCAAACCGCACCATTTGTTTTTCGTTTGTTTTTTTTTAACCAATATTTATTCTCTCTTTGGCGCATCAATTGCCAATTTGTTTGAGTTGCGAATCGATCTGTCGATTTTTTTTTCTCCCACTGTGAACCATTTTAGCAATCCCCAAAAGCAAAATATTCAACATGCAAAAAGCGCTCACTTTTTGCATACACATTTTTTTGTTTCAAATGCGGAAAGCGTAAAAAAAGATCATTGATAAATATTTAAATATTGCATGAACAGTGAATTTGTGGTGCTGCATGTGCGAATGCATCCGTTATATTATATCCTAAACATGGTTGTTTATTGGCGATGAACATGTGCACTTTTTGTGCCCTCATACGATAAAAAATCTCTCTCGTTCTTGCCCGGCTTCATTTTGCTTACCTGTGTACGAATTGTTGGCATTTCCGTAGTTGTTGGCCGATTGGCCGGTGTGATTGTCAGCGATGGTGAAACGGCATCGGGAGCAGGTGCGCTGTGTAGGTGGAGGATGTGGTGGTACTGGAACAGGTGAGACTGACATTGCTGGCGAACAATTTCCGTTAGACATGTTTAATTGGTTTTCTTTGGTTTGGAAAAATGTTGAGGTATTGCCTTGCGTTGTTGGATAGCAATTGGACGTTGATTGTGAGGCGGTGAGACGAGGGCACGTTGGCCACCACGAAGTTGAACAAAAAATACACTGGTTCTTACAGTTGCAATAGTATCGTCAAGGTGTCACATTTTGTGAATGTGGCTGCTGCTGCGGCTGCTGTGGCAATTGGTTAGCTGACGTACAGTGCAAGTGATTTTGGGATTGGGACAAAATATTTGGTAGACACGAATGTGAGGTAGCCGAACCAAGGCAACTTTTTAGTATGACCGGTCCGTTCGATTGAATTTGTTGCTGTGATCCACTGTGATTGCAACCAGCTGTTGACATATTTTGATTAGAATGACGACGTTGGTTCCATTGATTGTTCAATCTACAAGTGCAATGCATTTTCAATTAATCGGCAGTTTTCAGGGCAATCGATTTTCGTTCACACTCTGGTGCTTTTTTCCTGCTACTGTCTTGTTCTCACACACACACACCACGCAATATTTTGTTCGTGTCAACAGATCTGGTAATCTAAATGTTTTGAATTGTTGATGATCGTCAGAAACTGTATCTCTCTGAACTACGTTGTCGAACTTCGATGGGCAGCAGTCGTTGATTGGCCAAATGTTATTCAACTTTATTACTCACTAGACACGGTCGTGCTTTGGTACTGCTAATGCGTTGCACTAGTAATTGCTCCATTTTTGTAGTGTTGTTTGCATTTCGTGATGTTATCGAGTAATTTGTTTCCGGTTTATTTGATGCATGTACTCGCTTTTTTACTCTTCCTCGTAATTTCGTTTGACGATGTCACACACACTCAAATCCAATGCAATATTGCTCGAACACGTTCCGATGCCAGATAGTTTTTCTGTTTGCAATGAAAAAAAAAACATGAAAAAAATCTAGTAAGTTCGTGTTTGGAAAAGAAAGAGAGAGAGAGAGAGAGAGAGAGAGAAGGAGAGTGAAAAAAAATCAGAAAAAAATCATCAAAAGAGAAAGCAATCGTTTGAACAGTTTTTCTGTTTGCATCTGCTAAATCAATAAAAAGCAATATATAAAGTGTTCGTCTCGCCCTCACGATGAAAAATGACACCAGTTTGTGGCACGTGGAACATCCCCGTACACGCAGAGAGGGCGAGTGGGAAAGCATAAATCTAACGACGTGTATTTCAAGCTATTAATTGAAATAATTGTGATGACATGGCATGACAAGTAATATCATGGTCGTAATAAAAGAGGATACGTACCAAATTCCTGTGTACACATACACAGAAAACATGAATGCAATCGCATAAACGACCTCAAGTACTGAGGTTCTCTTTTTATCATTGCACTGCAAACTGAAATGAAATGAAAACCGCAAATTTCCACAAAACTTTTCATATCTATGTCAAGTGTTATTGCTTACATTCCTAAAAAAGCCAGAGAGAGGGAAAAAGAGAGAGAGAGAGAGAGAGAGAGAGAGAGAGAGAGAGAGAAAGAGTTTCAAGTGGATAAGTATCAAGCGTAACACATTAAAAATGAAATTATTTTCATTTCACAAAAACGGAAAATTGCATTCGACCATTTATGCTGCGATACACACACAGGCGCTTTAGTTGATGTTGTGATTTCTGTTTTAGTGTTATAATCGAAAATGCAATTGCAGCAAGAGCGTGTTGTGCGTGTTTGGGAGAAAAATAGTGTTGAAACGATCAAAAGCAATCGAAAAAAGAAAATTTCATGGAATTAGAACGAGCAAAATGATTTCCGTTCCACTGTTTTGACAATGTCCACAATGAGCAAAATAAAGAGAGAAACCGAAAACACTGAACGACTATCGTAACCGCATGCTGATATCAGCAATGGCATTTTCAGAAATTATCAAGATGGAAAATGACTGTGAGTGGAAAATGTTCATCCCCCCGAATTGTTGATAACAACAATAATAATTATAAATATTGTCATTTCATAATGCTCTTTCAACTTAAAGCTCCTCAATGGCACGAGACAAATTCGACTGCGAGCTACGGATATATTTCATTCAAAGACGTTTTCCGCTCGGTCCTGTTGTGATGGGCAAAACTTGAGATTGAAAATGAATGTTACGCAACGGAAGCTTTAATGTCTATGATTTATTAATTTCTAACTCCTTGGCAATTTGTTTGGTAAAAAGCGTTCGTTTGGTACGCTCGGCATGGCATCCGATTTACGACTTGGTTTTGCCTGAGGTTGAAATTTGAATAATTAATTACGTTGGCTTAGTGACACCATTTCATATTTCAGAGACTCATTTACTTGGTAAATGCGAATGCGCTTGAATCAAAGATCATTTTGGGCTTGGGATCGTCATCAAAAGGCTTAGGTAACAACGGAGAAACCGGTAATAATGAGCGCCATTGTTATTTCGAAGAATCAAATGTTTTAATTTTAAATGAATGTTCCGGAGTGTAACAATACGACCCCAAAACTCAAGTGGAAAAGACAGTTTGTACAAATGACGCACCGCGACGACTACCCATTGTGTGCACCAAGATATGAAATAAACATAGTGAAGCAGATTTTTCCGTTTCGCCTTAAGTTTATTTTCGTATAGTTTGAATTGGAAAAGACATTCATTGTTCCGTTTTTCGCCTTTCGTTCCACAAGCGATGCAAGCTTACCATTACCGGGAAAAAGTCGAGGACATGATAACGAGGATGATTCGATGAAGAACTAATTCGCAGTAGTGGACACTCACTTAATATAATGAATACTCGAAATTCAAGTGACGAAAATGCTTGGAATGGAACGGTGAACGATGCGAATGTGAATGCCTTGTTCAACCATATAATAATGTTGATTCTTTTGCTCAAAGCCGAAGAGCCTTTTGCATTGAATCACCCAACAATTGTGTGGCTACAAATATTTATTTTCTACGTGTTGCAGAAATAGTATGTTCACCAAATAATTCCATTTGTGAACAAACATGCTTTTAATGGAAAAACCCACATTGAATCGATGAAATACGACATTCCCCTGTTAAATAACTAACACATTCATCATAAACATACATGATTGTATATGGGAATGGAATTCCATCGCACTCTATAACTCACTCGTTTGACCAAAGTGTGAATGCATGTTCTGTATATTTATATGTTAAATTACTACGGAATATGACGGTATTTTGTTCAGCAATTGTGTGCAATTTTCAAAAGAACTAAATCGTTCACTTCCACCATGGGCAAAAAAAAATTTCCTCGTTTTCTCTCGCACATTTTTCGTACAAGTGGTTTGCTGATTGAAAATGTAAATGGCGGCCAACCATGTGCTTTTTCACACAACCGCTGCGAAATTCGGAAGCAGAAATTTGCGTGATGACGTTCCATTTTCTTTGAGTACACACAACAATCATGGATGTGGTTATTTCAGAGAGTGTGGCGAAAATCGATTTCTTTTTTGTTGTTCCATTGTTATGATTGGAGGTGTGAATACCTATTTTGTATTTATATTGTAATGCATGTTGAAGTTTTTTTCTCCATATTTTTCTCGTTCTTTAACTTTTCTCTCATTTTCTCCTTTTTGCTCGTATTAAACTAAACATTGGAGTGCGAAAATCCACAGCTTATTGTTATACACTCGGCAAAATATGAATTTATTTCGAATATCAACCGAACTCATCTGATCCAACCAATTGTGCAGCTGTGTGTTTTCAATTTGTGTATAAAATATCGGATTACATTTGGGCCAATTTAGAGAGAAAAAAAATCGTCGCTATAAAACCCAGGTCATTCATGATAAAAAAAACCCGTTTTTTCTGGTGAATTTTCTGAGAAAAGAAAATCAATATATTTTAGTAACGGAAATACGTCTAACGAAGCTTATTGAAGGGGAAAAAACACATTTCTTTTGTTGGGAAGAAGAAAAAAATGAATCTTCTGCGTGAATATGCGGCACAAACAAGGACTTTTACAACTATATTCGACCAGTGGAATTGCCTTACTTGGATTTATCACTGTCTTAGCTCAACGCTCATGGCGGCACACTCTTCGGATAATAACGCAAAAAAGAGGAAAAAATACGAAAAAAAAGTCGCATGAATTCCAACTGTCACGGTTGAAAAGGGATGATGATTTCATCGTAAGCAATATTGTTCGGTTCTTACAACTGGAATTCTAATTAAAACCATCGCAAGATACGGCATTTCCGAACGGAAATATCTCTCGCTCTCTTTATCTCTGCCCAACGCAACGATAATAAACGAAATACACATAGAAAAACAAACAAACAACAACATTACGACGATACGAAGCAATAAAGTCATTCGAATCATTTAATCGTTGAACGCGTGAGAGATGCATCAAGCATTTTCTCATTTAAACGACTATTTTTTTTTTGCAAAACATAGATTAATAGCAGTGGTATTATCCTGTCATAAATTATTTCTTTTTTGTGTCATTCCAGAGATGAAACAAAAACAACGCTAGGGGAAAAAACACATAAACAATAAAAACGCTGTCATTGAAAAATGTAGTTTTGTTTTGTGTTGTGGGGCGAGAGTGAGATATGTTTCCATTGGTATTTTACTACTTTTAGTTGTCATTGGATGCTTGAGCACGAATTTCTTCCTATTCATCGTTTGTCACAACAAATAAATCATTGCGTATCGATTTGTGAACGCCTGTTCAAGGGTGTGCGAGTGGGGAGATCAAAGGCTTGATCGTGACATCCGAGAGGCATTGGTGACAATGCTAACAGAATAGAAAAAAATGTATGGCATTTTTAATATTCCTTTTGCATCGATACATTCGATATCAAATTTTGTATAGAAAATTATTCATGCACAAACATTTGAACCAACATTGCGACATTTTTTCATCATGTTTTTTTCCCGTACCGGGCACCGTTCTTTTTTCTGTCGCACAATGTCAATCATCGGTCTGTAATTGAATCCGAAGAGAGAAAGGAATGTATGTGAAAAATGCATGGTTTATACAACTGGAGTTTTTTTCTTTCAGAAAAAATCCCGTTATTTAAATGTGTTCGTGCTGCAGGCGATGCAACAAACCAGCTCGTTCAAATGATTGAACGTAATTACAATGCAACCAAATCGACTCCAAACTGTCAAAACTCATAGAAAAAATAGCGATTGATTTTTTTCTCAACTGCATGGTGCGTTGAACATCGTTCGAATGGAGAGACAAAAAAAGTGTGTGAGAGAGAGAGAGAGAGAGAAAAAAGCGACGACACACAGTCGACGCATTCAATTCAAAAGAATTTGAATGAATTGATCGGAACCGACAAAAACGAGCATAACTTTAAAATAAACTATAAACTGTGTCTATATGGCGTATGAATGTGCATTGTATGTGAAATGGCATGCAGCTTATCTATGGCAAAAACAAATTCATGTTCACACGTGCTTCGTACGCTCAATCCGACGGTTTGTATAGTTGCACACAGAGTGGAAAAGAGCATCATCCAGTAATTATACATGGTTAAGCTATGTGGCAATTGCAGTATTACTGAATTATCTGGAAATTCAGCAATGAACACGTTTCCCTTTTCAAACCGTCAACGGCAGAAGACTTGAATCAAACTAAACCTAGCACAATATCCTTGAACACAACATATCAAGACATGAGCTGATTTACAAAATTGTATATTTATTTAAGGAAAATCTTTTGAAGGGTTGAACCTCCGACAAATTTTGCGTTAATGGATTTAACTCAAAATGCACACATATCGAGAACTGTATCTACGTTACAAATATATTTACAGTTTAAACAGTTAATTTTACCTAACATTTTATGGGCAAAAATAAGTCACGATATCTCTTCCTTTTGCTTGTTGTTTTCAAATGAACTGTAATTGAACGGTGTTGTTTATATCTCTGTGTATGCAGCT